AACTTCACATAGTAACACAAGAAAAGATACTTGTCTAAATGTTTTGCTCTTAACTGCAAGTCCCAAGGCTTTCTTTTAACAGCCACAAATACAAATCTTGATGTATTCCAATTGTAAATATTACAGTATGCAAAAAAGACAGAAAGAGTTTGAGTTCTGTCTTCACTCCCTGCGCTTCATTTTTCACAGGGACAGACTGATGAAGAAGGCACAGCAGAAAAACATGTTTAGGTAAGGATCTGTTTTGTATTTAGTGATACTAGCTGGTATACCATTATAAATGTGGCTGCTTTTGACTGTAGCAGATATAATGCCATTCTAGAATGATACTTTACTGATCTTTAAAATTCTGCTCTCTTAATTGAACTTGTCTCGAGAACACGCTATTGCTTTCTGGAAGAATAACTTACACTGGAACTTAAAATGGCTTATTGTTGCTTGCATCACAGAACACTTAGCAGTCTATTTCTTTAAAACATCTTTAGTTGTTTCCCTTGCTGATGATACCTATCAAGCAAAGTGTTTGATCACAATTGTTTTTCTCTTTGCATGCATTAAGGCTGCCAGGCTTTTAAGGACAGCATAGTTCCTTCAGTAGAATTCTTTCAGCAAACCCCATAGTAACTCTCTTATCATCAGGAAAGACGATAGAAAATATTTAGAATCTACCCAATAAAGAGTGAAAAAAACATAAAATTAAACAGTAACGGGTTCTGTTGATGTAACTGTAAGAGAAATAACTGTACTTAGCAGTAGGGCTTACCGTTACTGTAAACATGTTACTATCCAATACCTGTTGCTAGCAGGCTTTGTTTATAACTTTTAATTAAATAAATGTAAGTTATTTCAGATACAAGGATAAGTGTTGTGAGTTTTATTTTATTAAAACATGATTTGTATATTTTGATGAAAGAAGAGCATAATGTGATACTGACTGGATTTTGGGCTCTGATCCTGTATATAAGAAACAGTATATTTGACTTTGAGATTTTGTCTTTATAAGGTTTAATGAACATACATTATAGCCTGGGAGTTATACAAAAATAGAAATTAAGTAATAAAACACAGTAATATATAACTCTAATTTCTAACCAAAATCTTTCATTAAAGAGCAAAGTTTGTGCCAATATTTAACGTATGCTGGAAAGTTCAGCTGGTTAAAACCTCAGAATGAAATGTAAAACAGAGCAGCTTTTGTTTTCATATGGTTTTACAAATATATTTCCATCTGAACAAAAGAAACCCTTCTTTGCTTTCAATAAGTATAACCATGATTTCAGCAGAAATAAAATAATTAATATTTAGGTGATTAGTCTTCAAAAGTATCACCCATGCACTTTTCCCTTTTTTACAGCATTCCAGTGAGATCACAAAATTTCATTTACTGCTGTAAGAAGAGCAACCAAGCTCCTCCCTACATCCCTCCCCTGGGCATCCCGATACAAAACAAAACTTTCTGCATGGGAGCTAGCTGGGTATACAGGATGTTCTTTTGTACAGAATGGTGCAGGTGGGAAAATGAAGACTCTCTGTCTCTTTGAAGATACAAGTTAGCTGAAATGAGCAAAAGAAATCAGTGTGAAGGTTTTTTATTTTGAAAGGGATGTTGTAAGTATTTTGGTTTTGCTAAATATTTGTATAATACGAGAAATCTCAATTGCTAATTTACTTAGTTTAAACATATGTATGTTTGATTAAATTAAGCAGAGATGTATGTATGTGACTGTGTGTGTATATATGTGTATAAAATACATGCACACATGTTTTTAAGTCTTAGATGTGGTTTTATTTAAGGTTTAGGTGATACCGATTTCAGTGACACAGATAGCATGTACCTAAGAAAATGTGTCTTTAATGTAGACCTACTCTATTGCCGTAAACATGTAGCTATTCCTGTATTTGACATGTGGCAGTATAACATTCTATTAAACATTAATATATTTCTCAGATTAATTACTGACTATTTTTTTGTCTTACTGTTTTGTTATATGGCCTTATGCTCTCCAATTGGTTTTACTACTATCTAACCCGAGTTATACTTACTTTGACATAGTGGAATTTCTTTACCAACACAAATCTGGAATGTTTTTCTCATAAAAATGCTCGTGAGTGGTATTTTTCTGGATTTTTAGGTAATGCACAGTCTAGCCTGTGGCATGAATTTCTGATTTTGGGGGTATGAGGGAATAGATTTTATTATATTGGTATTGTGAATAACTCTGTATATTACATCTGCTAAAAAACAAAACAAAACAAACAAAGCAACTAAAAAAAGACCCCGCTGACAGATATTTTTCCAAGCAAAAAGGTTTTGTTGGGGCTGGGAGAGTAGGAAGCAAAGAGTAGTGGGCAAAGTGCAAGGTGCAAGAAATGGCCATGTATTTTAGAAACAGCAGTTGTCCAATGGAATGTCCAAGTATGATTTTACAAAGGACTAAAATCTTTAAAATCTGTTGATAATTAATTGTAATTAAATAGAAGAAAATGGTGATGAGAGAGCAGAAGTATTTTCTCTTTATTGAAACTGGGTAGGTTATAACAGTAGCTTTTTGCAAGGCATTGTATAACAGAAAAGAGATAATTCCTACCCTGTTTCATATGGTGCTGTAGTGAGCTGTTTTCTTGGTTTTTCTTAATCCAGGTGAATAGATAAATAGTTGTTCATGTGATACATAAATATTTGAGCTATTTTATTTGATTTTGTGCTTTCAAACAAAGTCCTACCACATGGATACGTTTTTATTCTTTTTTCCCCATATGAAAGAATCTACTAAATGCATATTAAATCCAAACTAAGCAGATAGTTTACCCTTTATTTTTTCAGATCCAGGTGCTCACAGGAAATATTCATGGGGTGGCTATTGACAAGGGAGTGGATAGAAATAATTTGAGACTCAGAATTGATTATAATACAAGCTAGAACTAGTTTGAAACACAAATAAGGACATTTTTCTATTTTTGTTCCTACTAGTTTTCTTATCGTATGCTTGGGAAACTCCTCCTCAAAAAGCATCCCTTACTGACTTTGATAATGTTTTACTGAGCAGTTCTATTTGTTTAAATTACTCTCTTATAGACCGTTGAATATCTTAGTCAATAGTTTGATTCCTGTTACCTTACTGCATTTAAAAGGACCTCTGCATGCTTTTGGGGAGTTCTGAAATTCACATATATGGAACCAAATTAAGGAGTTGCACGTAGGGCTTGAATTTGTATTTTGTCTTTCATTCTAAAAATCTAAATCTGTTAGTTATCATCTCCAGTGATTAGTCATTACCCTAGTGAGCATTTTTTAATTTGTGCCTGGGAAATACTGCATTAATGGACTAATTTTTTGACAGCATTTTGCTGTTCTAGAGCAAATTGTCCTAAAGATAATTTTTCATCTTAAGAAATTTTTATAGATAATTGTGCTACAGTAATGCCTATGCATCCATTTCATTTAATGACTTGTTGTTCATCCCTTTCTAATACTTCGCAGATCACTTGTTCCATAAATTTTATCACTATATCTGGATTTCCTTGGGCTTTGACATAAAAAGATTCTGTGTCATTTTCACAGTACCCAGAGTTAGCCTTAAGCCAGCTAGACTAACTGAAAACCATGGCTAGTTGTACACACTGAATCATAGAATTGAATCATAGAATCCTAGAATATCAGGTTGGAAGGGACCTCAAGGATCTTCCGCTCTC